AGTTTTAACTGATGGTACTTTGTAAACATCAAACTGTCCAATATTGGACCCTGCCAACACCTAGGTGGGGCATTGCCGGGGTCTACCATTTCTACACTCGGATCGCGTGATAACCTCACTCTCTCTCAGAAGGACTTCAAGGGATGCAAGATCAACGAACGAAATAATATTGAGTCGAGCGATAACTTCGCTTTCCCCCACCTGGACATCGTGGGAGGCAGGGTACCGCAGCAGAAGGGGTCGCATGATAATTTCATACTCCCCCGTCGGATCACAGGACACCGGCACCGGATAAGGCCTCGGGCAGTCGGGGCCCCACCAGTGCGGAAGATACATGCCATCCGGAACTGGTGGTTTCCCCCCGGCGTTCGTTGGCAAACTCCATAGGCCAGACAACTCTACCGGAAGCGGAATCAATCCTGACAACCTATACCGTTGATGAATTGCTGGAGTCCATCTCTAGCTCTCCAACCTCGACATGCTCCAATGCTGCCAGCTCTAAACGGCTCCACACCAGACAAGCGCAACTGCCCTCACTGTCCACTAGTCCTATCGGCCCTGGTAGACCCCGCAGCACTACTTTAGCGATCCAATGGAACATTAACGGATTTTTTTAACAATCTTGGGGACTTAGAAGTTCTGGTTCATAATATCTCACCCAGGATTCTGGCTCTCCAGGAGACCCACAGAGTCAACATAATGCAGCTAGACCGCACACTTGCAGGCAAATACCGGTGGATCAACAACTGCAGTCAAAGCAATATGTATCACTCGGTTGCCCTCGGAATTGCTGATGGCATTCCGTTCATCCCTATCGACCTTAATACCGACCTCCCAGTCGTAGGAGCCAAATTGGAATCCCCATTCCCGGTCTCAGTCATCAACCTATACATACCAAACGGGAAAATCCCGGACCTTCTACACAAACTTCAACGAGTTTTGGCCCCAATTGATGGCCCTCTTATACTCCTTGGCGATATCAATGGGCACCACCCATCGTGGGGGAGCTCTAAAGCAAACCTCCGTGGTGCTACCATAGCGGAAATCATCGAGTCCCTCGACTTAGTGATCCTCAACGACGGATCGAACACCTTCGTCCGTGGCCAGTGCGAAACATCGATCGACATCTCTGCAGCCAGCCCAGCCATTACCGGGCGCCTCCTCTGGAAAAATCTGGATGATCTAGCAGGGAGTGACCACTATCCTATCATCATCTTGTTAGGGGAAGAACCTCCAGAGACCTCAAGGCGTCCCAGGTGGCTCTACGATCAAGCTAACTGGGAACTCTTCAACGATACCGTGACTCAGGCACACATCGACCATCCAGTGGCAAGCATTGAAGAACTCATGGAGATCATTTCTGAGGCCGCAAAAATCTCCATTCCAAAGACCAGTTCAAACCCCGGCCGGAAACCCTTACACTGGTGGTGTCCAGAAGCAAAGACTGCCATTAAAGCGAGAAGAAAAGCTCTTCGTGCAGCCAAATGCCTACCCATGAATCACCCAGACAAGGAACGAGCTATCGAGCTTTACCGCTCCAAGCGAAATGAATGCCGGCAAATCATCAGGGATGCTAAGAAAAGTAGCTGGGAAGAATTTTTGGAGGGGATAAACCTCAACCAAGCGGTGTCAGAGCTGTGGAGCCGAGTCAACGCCCTCAAAGGAAAGAGAAAGGCCAGAGGGATGGCCCTTCGTCTTCCAAGTGAGTTCACACGAGACCCGCAAACCATCGCCAACGAATTAGCAGAATACTTCGCTTCACTTTCGACCATTAATCGTTACGACACGGCGTTCATACAAAAAAAACCACGCGTCCACACAGAGTATTCGTGACATTGTCATCCCGGAGGACCCAATGCCAACAAATATAAACGCTACCTTTCGGTTCGAAGAACTTAATCTAGCATTATCCCGTAGCAAAATCTGCTGGTCCAGACGGCAACAGTCCCCATCCCAAAGCAGGGACAAACTGCTTCAACACCGGAAAATTTCCGTCCGATTTAACTGACGTGCTGTACCAGCAAAGTCATGGAACGGATGGTCAATCGCCAGCTAATACGGTTTCTTGAGGACAACAACCATCTCGACCACCGACAGCATGCGTTCAGACCCGGCCACGGAACCGGAACGTACTTTACCGGCCTGGGAGACGTATTTCAGGAAGCGATGGACGAGGAACTCCACATCGACATAGCGGCCTTGGATCTAGCCAAGGCATATAACCGCGCATGGACATCATCCTTCACTTCGTTAAAAACTTCCTTTGTTGTAGAACTTTTCAGGTTCTGATTGGAAACCACCGCTCCTCACCCCGAGCGGAAGAGACTGGAGTCTCACAGGGCTCCGTCATTGCAGTCACCATCTTCTTGGTTGCAATGAATGGTGTCTTTAGTGACCTTCCAAAAGGAATATTCATCTTTGTGTATGCAGACGACATCGTTCTGCTGGCTATCGGACGCATCCTCACAGCATTGCGAAGAAAAGTGCAAGCTGCTGTATCAGCCATCTCAAGATGGGCCTCCAAGGCCGGCTTCGTACTGTCCACAGAAAAGAGCGTGGTTTCCCATCTATGCCGCTCCCGCCATCGGCCGCTACAAACAAACATCTTAGCGAACAACATTCCGATACCCAACAAAAAGACCATCCAGGTTCTCGGAGTGCGCCTGGACCGAGAGCTGAGGTTCAACGCACACTTTACTGACACTAAAGCCAATTGCCGTACGCGACTAAACCTCCTGTGAACACTCTCAAAACCACACCATAGCAGCAACAGAGAGATCCTACTAAAGGTAGCCAAGGCCACCGTAAACAGTAGACTATTTTATGGGATTGAACTAACCTGCCTCTCCAAAGACTCTCTAACCACGCGTCTAGCCCCAACCTACAACAAGGCCATCCGGATCGTCGCAGGTCTTCTGCCCTCTACACCCGCTGAATCGGCATGCGTTGAACTTGGTGTACTGCCGTTCCAATATCAAATCGCCGAAACCCTGAGCTGCAGAACATCCAGTTACCTAGAAAAGACCACTGGGAACCACGAGGTCTTTCTCCTCAGAGAAGGTCCTCTCCTCAGGTTACACTGGATCGGAGCCAGGGGATGGACAGAGCCAACCCTATATGTTGACCTTACGATTGCCAAGCACTTTAAGGCAGGGAACAACTCTCACGCTATGCACAGCCACCTAGCGGAGTTACTCAGAACTAAGTATGCCAAGTTTCAACACCGCTTCACGGACGGCTCCAAGGCTGCGGGCAAAGTAGGATACGGAGTAGGAGATACGTTCAACAGTTTATTCTTTCGACTTCCCGATCAATGCTCCGTCTTCTCGGCGGAGGCCGCGGCCATCTATATCAAGAACAACATGTGAAAAGGGCATACAAGCTTTTTGTAAACAAACCGTTTTATGCCCTTTTCTCGCCACCCATATGGCACCACCGCAAACCATCAACATCACCGGAAAGGGGAAACTTTTCCCTTCTCGACGATGTTGTTGGTTTGCGTGGGCGACTCTTAGTTAGCGAGGAAAGGGCCTACAAAGGTTTGTTTACAAAAAGCTTGTATGCCCTTTTCACATGTGGCTCTTGATATAGCCATCACTACTCCCTCCGATAAACCCATTTGTGTTCTAACAGATTCTGCCAGCGTTTTATGTGCCTTGAATTCAGTAACATCAAAACATCCCTGGATCCAAGGCATACAAAAGACCGTACCGCCGAACACCTCATTTGTCTGGGTACCTGGCCATTGGTAACTGCGAAGCAGACCATCTCGCCGCCACTGGGTGCACCGGCCGGATGACTACCACATCTGTTCCCAGTTCAGACATAAAAACATGGGTGAAAACAACCCTTCGAGACGCCTGGTACCAAGAGTGGGTTACAAAAAGGGGACCTTTCTTAAGGAAAATAAAGGACGACATCTTCAAATGGAAGGACACTACAAGTCGACGGGAACAACAGGTCCTATCTCGGCTCCGAACTGGACACACCCGAGTAACCTATAATATGGGCAGCGCTACATCTTTTCAGAAGTGTTGCGACACCTGCAACATTATAATGAATGTCGAACACCTGATCGTTAACTGCCCCTGCTTCCAGAACATCCGGGTCCACAACGGAATCCCGGACAACATACGCAATGACTGGATACCACACAACGATTATCTGATTACCATTTACAACGACCACTGCCATCCCTTTTATGAACCGCCAATCACGCTGAACAACCACGAAACACAAACGTTAACAAACTCTGTAAAAACCACTATGTACCAAGGGAACACCCTAAGCACATCTATACCCAGGAGAACCCCCTCAGGGTTCACCGAAAAAATCTAAACTACGTTACTAGGGGAGTCCCTGGGGAGACGGCTGAAAATCTCCTAAATAAAGAAAAAAAAATAAACCAACACACTCAAAGCTCTTTAAAAAGGGATTCCTTTAAGAGGTTCGACAAATTTAAAAGATCACATATTGCATGTTTAATTGGAAACAATGACGTCGATTTCTGCGACGGTAAGCAGTGAATAAGTCGAAAGTTGTCAATATCTTGGCAGCCAATTAGCGTCAGACGACGGGACCAGATCGACATAGGACCCCGAATGAAGAAGGCTAGGGGAATGCCTTTAGATTAGACCAAATTAACTCATCAAACCCCTAACTTTCAATCCCACCAGAAATCTTTTCTGTTGCCAGCAAAACATGGTGCGTATCACCGAAGAACACTCAAAAGCTGCATGTCTTATGTCGATGTCAGCAGAAATTCGAGAACGTAAGTGGAGGTGGTTTGGCTGCACATCAAATCTGCAAGCAAACTCCTTATTAGAACCCGGCAAGACATTACAGCCGTGGCAGATCCAGAGGCATCAACAAATATTTTTTTCTTTAAATAGACAGAAATTTGATCGGTTCGATGGAAAATTCTTATTACCGTCGGATTGTGATATCAATGATAAGGCGTCGAGAGTTTCCAATAGAGTCGTTCTTGCCTTCGTATCATTTTCTTATAAATACTCACCTGTTGAGATCAGTGGAAATCCGACAACGCAGTTCAGTTTTAGCCGTTCATCACTCTTGGCTCTTCAGCGACGGTTAAGTGACAGCTAAATCTATTGTCTAACTGTCAGATTTTTCGCAACGGATCAGTTGCCCAATGTCGATGCATTGAGCGCCCAGGACAGTCCAGAAGCCTTTTTATTTTCTCACCTAATAGCTACCAGGCTCAGTAGATTCGGCCAGAAAATGTCCGAATTCCGGAGGAATCACTACACCTGGATTCACCGTCGGAGGTAGCACTTCATGCTTCCTGCCGGATTCTCCGTGACTCTTTTCGTGTTCCCTCATATTTCCTAGGGTGGCAAATGCTCGCGGGCAGAATTTGCACTTGTAGGGTTTTTCCTTCGTGTGGACTCCCCGGATGTGCGTGTCCATGTGGTGCTTCTGGCGGAAAGCTTTCTGGCAGTACTGGCACACGTACGGTTTCTCCCCGGTGTGGACCAGCAGATGCTTCCGGTGCGAACCGTACGAAGTAAAACGTTTAAAGCAGATGTGACATTCGAAACGTTGTTCACCTGTGGGAGATCGCACATGTTAGATGTTGTAAATATTAAATTAAAACTCAACCTCCGAATCATACCCGTATGTGTTCTCATGTGCATATTATGAACCCCAGGATGTGTGGAAACCTTTCCGCAGTATTGGCATACGTAATCTTTTTTCTTCCTTGGTGTCCGCTTTCTCTGTTGGCCCCGCGGCAAGTGAGTGGTCTTGTGCGAATTTAAGACACCCAGCGTCTTGAAACCCTTGTTGCACAAGTCGCAGATAAAGTCCCTCGTTTCGATATGGATGGCATAGTGGACGCGTAGCTTACTTTCCGTGGAAAAACCCTTGCCACACTTATCGCAAACGTACGGTAAATTATCGCCGTGATCCTGCATGTGGCTTCTCAATCCTGATGGCGTGAAATATTTCTTGTCACACTGGGGGCATTCATAAGGACGAATGCCGGTGTGTTGTACTTCGTGCTCTTCCAAATACGATTTCCTCGTAAAATGCTTAGAGCACTGCTTGCACTGGTACTGCTGCTTAGGATGCTTAGCTTTTCTATGATCACTCAAGGCCGAACTCTTATCGAACTGATCCCCGCAGATGTCGCAAATGTTACCCTTCTTTTTATCCAACACGTCCGGCTTTGGCTTCTCAGACGACTTCTCCTTTTCCACTGCACCGAAGTCATTCTCGCTATCAGATTCCTCTGAATCACTGAGCTCGTCTTTGTGTTCATTTGGATCCCAATCCACCCCAACCTTCAGCTGAGTTTCCACCTTCGCCGAACAAAAATCCTCGTCTTCCAATGGCTCTGCTTTCACGTAGACCTTCTCGGCCGCCATGATCACATCCTGCTTTGTTCCTTCCTGTGCCAACAGGAACCGACTGCAGTCGAATGGCGAATGGTGCTTTTCGTCGTTTTTGATTAAAAACTCCATTTCGCGCCGAAGCTTGGTATCCGTTATCTCGCACCGCATCTTGAAGTTGTATGCATGTTCCAGGTTCAGATTACAGCGTCCACAAATGCGCTGCGGCAGTCCATCGTTGAAGGAGATCTAAATAAGGATAGATAAATAATGCATATAAAAACTAAACAGGAACAGCTCATATTTACCGCAATATTGGCACACGCTCGTATCTTTGCCAGTAGATGCTCGTTCTTGCCGGAAAACAGCTCGACCCAGCTATTCCCAGTTTGATCCGGAGATTCACACAATCGACATATGGAGGCGTAAAATTCCATTGTGAAGAATATTCTTACTTAAGTCGGTAGCACATTTATACGTGATTATTGATTATTCTCGATCATAAAATTGCAGAGACGATTGATTTTTGTAAAGAAAACATAAAAACTTCACGTTTTGTTTATGTTCTAGTTGTTGTTGAACTAATTTTTTGGGTCAACAACGCTGAAAATTTAATGACACGAGAATGAACTGAATGAATGAATGATGAATGAATGAATTCGACAGTGATCATTCATAAGGGCCAATGTCACATCATGCTCAAACAGTGGAAAGCATTGAAATTTCGATGGGGTTTTATCTGGGGGGGACGTGCTGTCAAATCAGCCTACTGATCATTCTTGTATGAAACTAGTTCCAAACGTAAACAAAAGCTGTATGTTTCTTATGGCGTGTTTACGTTTGGAACCAGTTATGCGAGGCATGCGAGGTAGGCGACGATTGTTCGTATTTGACAGCCACCTCCCCCCCTTGGGTTTTATCAACAATCAATACGAAACTAATGTGGACCGTACACGATTGCTTTTATTGACAATAATCGTATTGTCAATACATTCAATATTGACGTCAATACATCGGTATTGACAATATTTCTGTATTCACATCATCAATATTAATGTCAATAATTCCCCTTCGCGTCAATATATTGATACGTGTGGGGTTTGCTTAACGATTTCAAATTGGCTCACTACTTGACTAGCCTATTGGTCCCAAGCAAATCGACTAACGTACCCCATTCTAGTATAAATTCCAGTACTACACTATGTTTGTTTTGATTCGCTATGAAAGTTTGACAGATAAAATGAGGGGTTAGTGAATTTTCCTATGTTTCGAGGGGTGAATCGATTAGCTTGGGACCGAAGATAGTACCAGAGCTGAGCAAAAAAGTTAAGCTCGTTTCTTCGGGACCTTCTGGTCTTAGAGTTACCTCTATGGTTTTATCATAATAATATAAATTCCACGGTGGCAACAATCCAGAACTGGGTTTGTTTCATTTCGAAAAACATACCGGTTTTTATAGAGATTGCTGACGTTTGTCGTACGTAGTGTGCGTCACGTATACGTATACGCAAAATGTTTTCATCGGGAAAAAAAACTTCATAGCGGAAAATTTTCCCGATGAAAACAAATCACTTACACAACCATACTTTAGCAATCTCTATACCTCAGCTGAAAGAGCTTCGGATGGTTAAGTCATTCTAGGTGATGATTGATAGATGCCATTGAATTATCAGTTAAAAACTATGACAGCGATATCGAATGATTTCTATCGTAATTTCACATACTTAGTACATGATATTCCTTTGCTTCGAACGTGGTTAGCGATAGTTAAGAGATGTGAATATTCACGGAGAAAAAATGCTACCCAAAATTTGAGTTCTTTTTACCGAATCAAGTAGAGAGCCGATTTAAAATCGTTAGTTTCCACCGGTTGATAATACTGTATTGAATAATCTTTACTTGTTATTGTCCCATAAGATAAGGTTAGATATTGGTTCAGTGTAGATGTACTTGGAACCAATAGGCTACTTAAGTAGTGAGCCAATTTAAAATCATTAGTTTCAACCTCGGTTTCAACCGGCTGATTTAATAGCTCAATTGCAATACTAGATTAGTGACGTAAGAGCATAACGGATTCAAATGCTTCCAGCTTCCATGTTAACGAGGCTGTATCTAACTCGGTATCTATACAAGAAGACACCGCCTTGTTCCACTTAAATGCCCATCATTTCAACCTGACTTATCGCTGCGGTTGACGTGATTGATGAATCCAAATGGACAGGAACATAGAAGCAGTTTTTAATTTATGACCAGCACGAGTTGACCCCGGACCAGACAGAAATTATGAATTATTAAAATTTGCAAACAGCTTTCATCAAGATCGATCCCCATTCAGGCAGGTAGAAAGCAAACGTCCAAGTTACCTTTGCCAAAAACCACCGCATCATGGTGACTCCCTAACGTCATATTATTTTGACAGAAAAGCATACCGTCGTCATCGTCATAGCCTGCTGTGTTTTCTGGGGAATATGATGATTTTATCACGGCAGCACATGAGAGGAGGAGTCCCTTGCCGCTTTTTTAACGATCCGCACGCAAGCATAGCCAAATATTAAATTTTTAATCAAACAATTACCTTTATGCTGATTATTGATTTTGCCTTCACGAGCAATCGGAGATCGGGTGGCCCAATCAATGGAGGAGAATTTATAACTCTTGGGAACTGAACACTGTTCCATAAATCTTTCCAATGGTGACCGGTTTTCTTTTTCCTTCCCTAACTCAATCCCATCCCGTCAGGTGCCATATCGTTAGTTTTTGAACTAGGGTAAGAGTGCCAGTTATGGCACTAGTGCTTCTGTTTTTGGCCCTAGGGCCTAAATCAAATTTGAAAAAAAAATATGTGGTGCAATATATGTTCCAACCAAGTTCCAACCTTGCATCAAAATAAATTATGAGAAGAATAAAAAATCAATTTAAGATTGGGCCAATTAGAGAATCACTAGGGACAAAAACTGGCACACTTACCCTACCTTCTTGGACTGAAAAAAAAACTCCACCCGCTCGCTAGTGACTCCATATTATATATCTTGGGGGATTGTATCGCATGGCGAGATTAAAAATTCAAAGTAGCTGCGGTCGATGAGTGAGGTATTAGTTAAGTCCGGATTTAGACTAATTGATACGCGGTCGCATGGGTCTCTAAAGATCGCACAGTAGATCTATGCGAATCAGGAAGCACCAAATATTTTAATTACAATTATGTGCTTGAATGTGATCTAGGAATGGTAAATATGCATACCCAAATATAGATTTATATTCATTTTCATGTCTTATTCCGATGTCTAAATCAACCAATACCGAAATAAATCGTTGCGGTGAGGATGTTGGTCATTGATAAATTTTGGATTTTAGTTGCACACAGTAAATTTTGAATAGATTCTCAACAAATCTCACACTAGCGGATCAATCTTCGGAAAATCTTCTTTCATGTCTCACATCTACTTGCATCAAGCGGTCACCTTAATAAAAATGTTATGGTTAATATGCTTAACGACGTGTTCGGGGTATCATCCAAACCATTTGTGGAATAGTTCAATCATTTGGGTTATCGTTCGTGTATGGTATTTTTTTTATTAGGACAGCACTCGGATTTTTTACAGATACCATGAGAACGTAATTTGTGATTAGCCTCGGTCCCTTTCATTTGGATCATTATTTATGAATAGCCCTTCTATTTGAAATGACGTTTCACATTCATCTAGGGATGACCGATTTTCATTCGAATAAAGTAAAATATTTGAAATCGGTTATATCAAGGCCATATAAGCATTAACTTCTCCAGAGGATCATCACTCACCGTTTGAAACGTGTTCTGCTATCTTCGATTTTCACGTCCGGTTGTATTGGTGCGATATGTGAGAGCGTGTTAATGAATATCCGAGGAAAATACATAACAAATCGGTTACAAACTCCTTTTGACAGATCTATTTTTTTTTTTTTCCTTTGGTTTGTTTTTTCCGTCGATCTTGTTTTCCGTGCTGAGCACCAATGCTACCGACGCCAGAGAGGCAGCTCCCACACCAGGACCCTACCTATCGACCCATCAACCCATGAACCGGGGACCAACGGCTTTACTTCCCATCCGAAGGAAGGCGTGATCAGAGATGTTATGCCTCAGAACATCCCGGCGGCGCCGACTGGGATTGAACCCAGGCCTGCTGGGGTGAGAGGTAATCACGCTTACCACTACACCACCGGCGCCGTTTGTTTTGACAAATAATCTACTTTCATACATTTTTTTTTTTAGGTTAGTCAGAGGAAAATAATAAATAACTTTACACGGCGTTGCTCCCGCTAGTGTGTGTGCGTTAAACGTCACTAATCTTTATACTAATTGATTAGTTGTTAATCGAGTAATTAAAAAATGGGACATCACTAATTTTGCTGTGCTTGCTTTAATAAAAAAAAAAAATGCGCAAAACTTCATCTCTACCGAGGGGGCCGCATAATTCATTGGGTGAAAGGAATTATGAAAGAGGACACTAAAACAGAAACCTCGCGTAACATTAATTTGAAAAGAGCCTATCCTCGTTAATCCATTCTCTACATCCGGAAAACTTTAAGATTAGGGCGTAATTGCTTTTGTAAACAAACACCACAATCGCCGATTTCTCGCAAATTAAAGCTCAATCTAGAGTCGGTGTCCCGAAAAAAAAATTACAGTGAAATATTCAGTGGAAACAATGCTCTAACATTAATATTTATTGTCGACAATAAAAATGATTGTTATAATGTTGTACTCTTCCGAAAACGGCAAAACTGCTACCTAGCTGTACAATGAATGTACATAATAAAATGTTGTTACAATGATTTTTATCGTATTTTTCATTTATTTTATTGTTAACATGATTCGATCATGAACAATAATGAACAACTCTATTACAATAAAAATTGTTGTTACATTAAATATTGGTGTATTTTCATTGTGGGTTACTTCACGAACAATAAAAATAAATCTGATTGAAGCATGCAGACTATGAGAGGGTCAGCAACACTGCCAATGTAATTAAGATAGGCGCTGCTCGTATGGCTCTGGCTTTGATAGTTCGTTTGGCTCAAAACCAGGCAGTCCGCGTCCGCTCATATCTTATCCTAGACCCTCTCTAAAGCTTAATGGAGACCTTTTTCCGTGCAGTCAATAATCATACAATAATAATAAAAAATTCCACCACTTGAAGATGTCAGGAAGGAACTCTCAGGTGGAGGCATATTTCATGGGCGATTCTCTCCAGTCGAATGCATTAACTTATCAACGACGCTCAACCACCAAGGAGACGTGACCTAGGGATATCGAGCGCAGGGGAGTTGGCCTGCATTTCTCACAAGTTCCGGATCGAATCTCGATCCATAACCAGTAAAAAAAAGGACCACCCGTAACAGACGAACCACCCCCTTCCCTTCCCGGGGCAATGTTTTATTTTTTCGGTTTATTTTTAAAGTCGATAAAGTAGATCTGTCAAGCCAACACATACACTCTAAAGTACACTGTTATTTTTTTTAATCAATAAATTCGCCAACCAACAGTAAAATAACAATAATATATAAT